GCTCTGGCTAATCCAAAGTCTGCTAATTTTAGTTCGCAATTCTAAAAGATGGAACGAAAAGTAAAAACAATCACATAGAGTGCATTATTGTATAAATGGATCTTTTTATTACCTTATTGATAAGTAAGTTTTGCGGCTTAAGGTCCCTATGAAGTACATTCTTACTATGACAAAATGCCAATCCCCTAAGTAATTGATATCTACAAAAAGATTAATTAAAACGATTTGACGATTGCAATTTCTATACGTTTAATAACAATGTTAGAAATTAAAACATGCTTACTTAAATGGAAGTATAATTAAAGTTTATTTACATATAAAGCTTTTAGCATAATTGTATAGATATTTCAATTTGTCTTTGTACATGGTTTTACAGAAAATTTGCATAATATTAGATGTTGAACTTCTTAAAACATATGGAAAATCGACTGCATACGTGCATTATTTTGTAGGTAATAAACTTTAATCATACTTTTAAAGCTCAAAATAAAATCTTAAGATCTTTTCTTGTAACACGATCGCCAAGGTACAGCTATATATAAAACGGTATGAAAACAAATAAACTTACAAAAATGATTTGACTACGTCAAGATCAATTTCACCATTAAGACTGTCAAAGTACTTTTTCAAATCTTGATCACAGTGCTCGAAGACTAGAGTTAGTTTTTTGTCACTATGAAGTACATCGTATAATCGAACAATATTTTTGTGCTTCAATTCCTTGAGTAAACAAATTTCTCGTAGCGCTGAAGATGGAACACCCTAAAAAACAAGCCATTATGCAATAAAATTTATAAACAAGATTACGAGCGGGCCTTTAATCTAATTTCAATATTAAAATGGCAACGTGTCTATTAATAATGAAAAATCGATATGGCACAAGACTAAATTTATAATCGAAGGTCAGCGCCTGAAATAAACTCACTTCATCGTCCTCGTCGAGGCGAACTCTTTTAAGTGCAACGATCTCGTGGGTCTCGCGACTTTTGGCTTTAAAGACGGTGCCATAAGTGCCTGAAAAAAAGACGAAAACAATTAGAAATGCCGTGTCTGACAGCTTTCGTTAAGCAGAAGCACGAAAACACGCAGCCTGTCACGGCAAGCTCATGCAAATTCTTATAAAGTATTATACGACTAAAACATCATTCGTAAGTGCCCGCTTCTTGAAATTAACAACAGTCAAAGCCTTACCTTCTCCTATCTTTTCAAGTTTCTCATACTTTTGCATATTTTTGGTCGTTCTGCAGGCTGAATGTCGCACAGTGTGGTTAGCGCTGCGCTCGAGCGACAAGCCGCGTAAACAGTTTGCGCCGCCGCTGCCTTTAATGTTTCGTCGCGAATCGTAATTCCTTATCTCTCTATTTCAGCCGCTAAGGCTCACTGACTTACCAGCGCGTGTTTTCAACAAACTCGGCATGTGTCATTGCTTCCTTGTCCCTTCCACCCGCGCACCCATTCACCCACGCGTATGCACGAGCGCGCCCGTGGGCACGTGTTTATGCATCGTCAAAAGAATTTACTTCTGGAAATAAGCGGCTATACTTAGGAGTTGCATGATTATTTACTTTATCGATTTCTTACACTATATATATATATATATATATATATCAAACTCATCTTATTAAAAACTTAGCATACTACATAATACTTCGAATCAGCTTTTAGATTTATATTTAGATCGATACCTTTTTGTATGTAGATTTATATTTTTTACTCGCTCCGTGTCTTGTGTGACTTAAGCATAACGATATTTGATCATAATACAGAAATATTGGCCTAATTTTCCAATGGCAATATTAATAATGACACGTGTTTTCGACATTTAACTGCACGATTGCTTAAAAATACCTCTAGTGAAATGTTTCAGAAATATTTTTGTTAAATTTCAGACCATAAATCGTCCTTATAATCATATTCCTACATAATATCAATATGGCTGAAATATTTCAATATTTTTACGCAATTTATGCGAAAATATTATTTGAAATTTTTCATTTTGATGGAAATTCGCAAGAGATGAAAATTAAAGAAAGAAAAAAATAGACTAAATTAAATTAAACTTTTACTTATATTTAATCGATATTTAAGTATTTTTTAATGATTAATTTAACCCGAATTCCATACTATTTCGCTTTACCCGCAATTATTTATGCACTTAGTTAAAATCTCTTCAATACTTAATTTAGCTTTATTTTACTATTTTAATATTATATTTATTTAAAGGATTGCTGTAACCCAGGCTCAAAACAAAGGCTTAGCTGATTTTAGTGAACGTAACGACGGTACTGAATCATCGTCGATGCGCAATGATGCGAAAATTCGGCAAAGACGAGCGTTTCTCAGATGTTAGTGAGCGGCTATAGGAGCTTTGGATAATCATTGATACCGATTGACTAATCCAGAGATCGATCCTTATGGTAATCCGAAAGAGCTAGAGCAATGAAATTAGCTATTATGCGAATAAGTAGATCAAGAAAGAACTGGGAAGAAGACATACGATAGTGACCATTAATTTTCTTAACGAATCTTGATTATTTTCTCTCTTTGCATTATGCGATTATGACGTGCCTCTCTAAAATAACTCTGATGCTTCGGATTTTAATGCTATTATTCGGATTCTCGTACAATACGTACACAACACTAATATGACAAAAACATATTTACGGTGAAAAAGAAAGTGTTTAAAAATATCATAAGCATTAATCAATGATATTAATAAATATTGAAAATAAAAAAGCTAGACTCTATAAAAATATGTATTTGAGTATTTTAGCGAGTTAGAGCTTAACATCCTTTTTATTATAAAAATACTCGAATATAGTATATATATTTAAACAATAACATTTTTGAAACAGCAAAAAATTTTTTTTTATCTGAAATACTATTAAAATGTTTTGTATATCTTTTATAAGGCATTCATATTAAAATTTATTATTATAAAGCAATTATAAATTTTTTTTTTGTGTTATTTATAAGATAAACAACTTATTTTTCTCCATTTGAAGTATTCTTTAAGTAGATTTGTAAATATTTTGTATGTCATGTACCATATTAATTCTAACGTCGTTTTCAACGTTGAACAATATCTTCTGATAAATAATTGTTTTTTATATTATACAAAAATTAATTTTCTTTATAATTATTTTCTAATCTTGCTTGTACTTAACGTACCTTGTTCACATAAATATGATAAAAATATCTGTATTTAGATCAAATTATCAATATAAATATTATAAATAGATATTTAAAATTTAAAATATATAAGTTCTTTTGTTTAATTTATTTTTAATTAAATATTCGTATAATGGTTATGATTTATCTATATCTTATGCAACATTGATGAAAAGTATATATATATATATATATATATTTTTTTTTATTTTAATTAAAAAATGTGATTACGGATTTTTGTATTATCTACATATTTTATTTATTCATTAATAAAAAAAAATGGCTTTTTAAATTAATTTCTTGTTAAACGTAAGATTAAAAATTATGTGTTGTGAATAGTAATTCGATTGTCGACTTATCGATACTAACGTTGACATGTTTTTCCTATATAAAATGAAAGTTAATCAGTCAAAATCTTTTTTTTTTTAAATTTACCGCTTTTATAATTAACAGTAAAGTTTGTTTGATATGAATTTAAAAATAAACTTATTCGGAAATTTTTAACACTCTAAACTTAACAAAAGGAATGTTTTTATTATTACGTTTATTCAACAGTATATTTTTTTTAATAATAAATATAGCAATTGCACTTTATACATTTCACCGCGTAAGTATTTTTGGTTAGAAACATTTTTTATACATATTTACCATCTATCATATAGTTAATTAGAATAATAATAATAATAATGATAATAAAATCATTATTATTGTTATTTTAATAAAATTAAAATAAAAATAAAATATTTCTTCAAAATACAATATATATTTTTTAAATTTATTGTTTTTAGTATATTGTTTTTAGTTACACTACAAGCGCGCACACACACACACACACACACACAAACGTACATCCAGAAATTAACATAAAATATTATATTGTAATTATTAAACAAAATTAAAAGAATGTTTTTTTTTCTAGTTTTTTCGAGCGATGAGATTTCATTATCAATTAATCGATGAAGTTGAAGAATTTAGTTATCTCGTAAAGAAATTAAAAATTTTAACATTATACTTGCCATTATAAATAAATTGCTAAAAAGATCTGTTTCATTTTTAGGTTGATCAATCCCGCGCAAGTTTAGAATACATTGGTAATAACATAACCGAAGCCATAAAAGAAGTAAATTATAATATTAAAAAATAATTATTAATTTAAATTAAACAACACTAAGGCCAAATTTTATATAATTACAGATGCAGTCAGACATAGGAAAGGAAATTTATGTCACTCATAATTTGACAATATTAATTACAAAAATTAATGCAACGTCAAAACGGTTTAATGATTTAGAAGAAGAAATTATTGAGGTTTGTAAAAGTATAATTTTAAATTTATTTACTCGACTCTCTTGAAATAGTATTTAAATAAATGTAGTTTGCTTTTTGTATAAAAACAAATTTAAAAATTGTTTAAAATCTTATTTTTTTCCCCCTTTACTACTAATAGCACCTTAAAATGACTAATACCACAGTTTACTATTTTATTATTATTTTATGTGTAATAATAATTCAAATCTGGAAATATTTGGGGTGTAAGTGAACTCGATTTTACAAGTAGAAGAATTCAGAATTCATGTGAGAATATGCCATTGGAGGGGTGAGCGATCTTAAATCCTTAGGTACATAGCAACGTCGCGTTACTATTCACAGTGATATACCATCCTGAATAATCCGGCGGTTTTTCGTTGCGCGCTAGTTGATATAAAATATAATAACGTACGTAGAGAACAATAGCAAACTTGCTTAAACAAAGTAGATGGCATTACTTGTCGATTGGTTATTTTATTCACGTGCGTAAAATCGAGTCCACCTGTGATTCAATGGACGAACCTTGACGCCCTTAAAACGAACCAAATGATTCCACCACATCAGTTTGCCCGTCTGAACGAGAACTTGGATAACGCGGTTGTGGAGACGCCATTGAACATCAACGAGGAGGTACGCAGGATCCTCAGACGCAAGTACCTCGTAAATGAACAAGACCAGCAGCAATTGACGCAGGAGTGTCCACGTAGTCCACGGAAGCCGCTTAAAGTGCAGTCCGGTCTCGGCCTCATGGAGAGCGTTCAATCTCAACCAAATCCCATCCAGAAATTGCCCTCTTACCATCAAACGCGACCATATAACCATCAGAAACCGCGCTCACCTAATCTCGTACCGGACGTCATGTTATTCGACGAGCAGCGGACCATCGGCACCATAGATAAGCCCATCGGGTTCAGACCACCCTGGATGTGTCAAGTCTAAGTAGGTGAGTAAAAGAAGTTGCCTTTCCTAGCGTCGCTCTTTATGTCACTTCCGCAACACGCAATTCCTCGCGTAAAGAAAATTGTAAATATTTGTCTGCTTAATTCAATGTTTTTCTCGGAAGAATTCCCAACGTTGTCTTGTGAAGATAAATAATTGATCCATTGCTATACCTTACGAACTTATTTAACAGTCAATTGGCTATTAATTCCCTAAATATATCTATAATCGATTCTCGTACATAATTCGTTTTTATTTTTTATTTATTTTTTAATTATTTGCGAGTAAATTTTCTAAAATTCGTTGTTATATTAATCGTCTGTTGAAAATCCCTTCAAATTAATTTATAAAGTGACATATTTTATTTACTATCAACATTGCAACTTCATCAAGTTATGCTGTAAAATAACTTTCTTTAATTACATCAATATAAATTTTATGTAGCATAATTAAATAAAATGTTTTACAATTACTAATGATGTATGTCTCTATTATATATATATATATAAAATGTTTATGATAAAATTATCGAAATTTTGTTTTATTTTTACAGGTCACGGTATAAAAATACAGTGATTGGTCAAAATCTTTCAAATTAAATTTTATGAAACAATTTTAGAATGTATTCATTTAAAAAGTTTAAGTAAGAAAATCGTGTACTAAAGTTTTTATTCTTTTTAATCCATCTGCAATGTGATAATAAAGTATTATCCATAAAAAATATTACGAACCAGTTTTCTTATTACCAATATTTAAAAGCTTTTATGAATTTTTATTAAAGTAATAAATTACTTCAGTAAATTACAAAAAGTGATAAAGTTGTAGGTAAATCAGTTAAATAATAAGACAATATTATAAATACTTTCTTGGAAATTTAATAATTACATTAATTATACAAGAAAGTAAATAAATATAATAAGGAATACAAGAGTATTAATTATACGTATCTACATAAAATCAAATAATTTCCAAATAAATTTAAACTCGTATGAATCAGTCGGGCAAATGATGTAAATTAATTTTTTACAAATATATTTACAATACCTTCCATATATATTTTATTAAGCCTTTCACAGTTATATTACCTTATACAAGAAGACGATTCGAGGAACAATAATTTATATAATAAAACTAATTTTACAAAGTTCTTTTAATTGTAATTTTTTTTTTTTAGTTCTACAATCTTTTTTGCTCAATTTTTTTTCGATAATTATTTTTCCATGTAGAAAGAAAATAGACACTAATTAATTGATTATTATAAGCATGATTAATAATTATCGACAATTAATAAATTCGCTATTGTAGAGGGATTATAAACTATTTTAGTTTTATGCAATTAAAATTTTCTCTAATATTTTATTATCTCTATATTCTTTATATTTCCTTTACTATATATGTAAATCAACAATTTATAATGAATTATTTTATATTTATATAGAATTTAGATTTTATTCAATTCTATTCGATCTAATAGTCCTTCAAATTTTTTAAATCTTAATCTAGTACAATGAAATTATATTTCTTCAGCTTTGATACTCACTGACGCGAGAGAGGGAACATTAAAATGTAATTCTATTAAGTTCTAATAAGATATGAATGAAATTCAATCAAACGATTATTATGTAAGATTATTAAATATTTAATATATATATATATATATATATATATATATATATATCGATCAGTTTCTCGCAGCATTTTTATTATTAAAATTGATTTAGGCTTTACTTGTTAGTCTTTCAGACTTTACCAATAAAAGCCAATTGATATATTTATTGATATATTATGTTTAATCATAACAAATATTATTGTTTATATATATATATACTTTTACATATACAATATAATTTAATATATATCAATACTTGTAAATAAGTAATTATTTTATAGGATTAATAAATATTACTGATATCTATCGATCACAAAAGCGAAGCCATTAACGATTATCGAAAATTATAAATATACATTTATTAAATTTAATTTGAATAATTTATAATAAAATATGCGTGTATAGAAACTTTAAATTAATAACTTTACATAAACTATGAAATGACAAAATATGTATATAATATATATAATACTTTTAGATTATTAAGATATGAAAAGATCAAGTGAATAAATAACTATTCAAATCTTGGGCGAATCAAATGTTAAATAAAACGAGTCTATGCAATTTACATAATTTTATTATATCCCTCTTCATAAATTAAGATATACTTTTATATATTATAAATGTTTTATCAATTGAGCTTATAATATTTTATTTACATAATAGTATGCCAAATAAATATTAAAAAAAAAATGTTCATGATCTTTTTAAAGGAAATATTTGTGGTTATAGCTATTTATATATATTTAGACAAAATGTTAATTTTTTTTTTATTAAAATAACGACATCTGTATTATTTAATAGATGCAGGGAAAGCCGTGATTGTACTTATTGTAAATGTAGCTGTATTTATATTATTTATGAAGTGAATTAATTTTTCTCCTTAATTTCTTCATTTTTATGTTCAATGCAATGCGTGAAATATATCATATCCATATATTATATCAAATAATTATTATAATAAATTATGGTTTTAATTGATATTTAAAAAAAATTATACTTTAATAATTATTTTCATAAAAAAAATTATCTCATATTTCTGCTGCTAGTTTTGATATTTTTTTTATAAATATTCTATCATTGACTAAACTAACGAATAAAAATTCAAGAAAAATAGTGAGTTAAATATATAGTATTTACATAATATGAAACAATCGAGGCCTCGTTATATAATGATTTTGTTTTGTTTGTTTTATTTTTCAAATTTATATTCATACAAATATTTATGAATTTGATGTGAATGTAATTAAAATATTAAAGTTGAAAAAATAATATTTATTGTAATATTTCGTTCGATTTAGTATATGAATAATGTACATATTACAGATACTTGGGCGATATATTTTTTATTTTTTATGCCGAGTGAATATAGGAAATATGAATATCTAAGAAATAATAATAAAATTTTAAAAAACTATGAAGTTTAATTATATTAAATTGTTTTAATACTCACATATTTTTATAGTATATTATCAGACACATTATAAAAAAAGACTTTTATTAATGTTTTGCTATTTCTAAAGATGATATATAAAATAAACTTATTAAAATATTGTATGAAATTCAAGAAATGATTTAATAAAACAAAGTAATTATATAATTTTTAATTTTTATTTTTTAACGATATTATGTAATATTTCCAATTATTTGTAATCGTATTATGATTTTAGTTTAATAAAAATGAAGGTCTAACATACTTTAGAAATGTACAATGTATAAATAATATAAATGAGTGAATGTAGCAAGAAAGGCAATTGTTATGTATTTGTTGATTTATTTAATATAATAACGCACTCGTGGACGTCACAAATATGCAATAACGTTCAACGCATTCTATTCATTATTGAATAAAGAATAATTCAAGCATCAGAGTGAAAGAAGAGATGATGTCTTTGCATGTTCTTAGCTTCCGCGTATATAGAAGTTATGGGTAACAGGAATAATTAGTTTACATAGCGAAAGACTATTTTTTTCCAATTGCTCTCTCATCGTGTCAGTGAAACACGCATTTGCGGCTTGTTAAATGCATGTTGAGTCTTATCTATTTAAAAGGAGGAATGGACCTGCGCTCAACGTCTTCGATGGCCGACGCCTTTGAACCTCGACGGTAAAGATCTCTTGGCGAAGCTTGGAACGCCGCTACGGTCGATCTCGTCGAAATTACGTTTATCAAAGCCGGAGAAGCCATTACGATCTATTTCATCGATATTACGCTTGTTGAAGCCGGAAAATCCCGAACGATCGATTTCGTCGATGTTGCGTTTGTTGAAGCCGGAAAAGCCCGATCGATCGATTTCATCGAAATTGCGCTTGTTGAAGTTGGAAAAGCCGTTGCGATCGATTTCGTCAAAGTTGCGCTTGTTGAAGTTCGAGAATCCGTTGCGATCAATGTCATCGAAGTCGCGCTTGCTGAAGCCAGAAAAACCGTTGCGATCGATCTCGTCGAAATTACGTTTGTTAAAGCCGGAAAATCCCGAACGATCGATTTCATCGAAATTACGCTTGTTGAAGTTGGAAAAGCCGCTGCGATCGATCTCGTCGAAGTTCCGCTTGTTGAAGCCGGAGAATCCGCTACGATCGATCTCGTCGATGTTGCGCTTATTATTGCTGATGCTGATTAGATCCGCTGGGTAAAGCACAGCCTCGGTGTATTTCTTGAAAGAGTCTGGAGATTCGGATTTCCTGTAATGATAAGGCAATCGTCATTTTTGAAAGAAGCAATCGTTGAAGAGATTAAAAGGATTACAATTATATGCGCTCAAGTCAGTCGGGGATAACTGCATTTATTACTTCTATTAATTGCACTGAATTTGAATACATAGAATTAAATACAATATGCATTTAATTACAATGGATTATTGAAAGCGAGTGTAGCTTTATAATAAATTGTAATATTTTTAAAACAAATTTTGTTAAAGTAAGCAACCAAATTATATATTTCGAATTTAAAACAGATAAAATATTACGATTAGATTATTTTTTTTTTAACGAATAAAGAAATTATGTTGAGAATATAAATGATATTTTATAAATTATTTGCTTCAAGTATATATAAATATTCAAGTATATATAAATTTATAAGAAATCTTTTTTTTTTTAAACGAATAATTAAAATATGCGAAGAATATAAATGATATCATATATATATTACTAGCTTCAAGTAATTTGTAAGAAACATAAGACAAATTTATGTGTAGAACGTTAATTCATGAAAATTATGATTATAGTGCATCATTAGTGTTAACGTAAATGATTATTAGAGATTATCGCACAAAAATAATACGAAAATTTTATTCATTTTAATTAATTACTTGTCAATTTTAAGGATTGCTTTGTTTTATTTTTTTATGAAATGTGATACATACATACATAAATATACATATGTATAAGTTATGAACAATAAAACGTAAAATATTTATGACAAGAAATAAAAAAGTAGATTAAACAAAAACAATGTGATATTAAGATATAAATATTTTAATAGAATTAAGAAGATACATTGTAATAAAATTTTTCAAATAGATTATTGTAAAGGCTTTAACTTTTAGTATATTCATATGTAATTTTCGTACGCTGAATATTAAATAAGTTAATTAAAAAAATAAAGAGGGTAAAGGTTTTCTTTTGAGATATCACTATTTGAATTAGGTTTCCAAAGAGACATGTAGAATACACTAAAAGGAGAAAAAATTGTTTTACCTCTTTTACTTTCTTTTTTTACATCCATCTATTAGGCTATAAATATATACATAGGGGATAGTAGTCATCTTATCTTATTTAAGCCATTATATCACAAGTATTTGCTTTCGTCGATTGGCTAAAAGGCGAAATGCTCACATAAATAGGTACGAAATTACTTCGTACGATAGTTAGTGATTTATTTATTAAAGAATCTGAGATACTCTGAGATTCTCCTTATTTACCTTTGTTATTTCGTATGGAAACACAGTGACAAATTAAGATAAAGGAAATTAATCTTCGTATATTACAAATAAATAAATATATTTAGAGTTAGGTATCTAGTGTAGTAAATGGACTTTGATAAAATGCTTCGGGGAGTAATAATATGACGTATGAAAATATTTTTATTACACTGAAACCTATTTATTACACTGATTAATAGAACATTTTACATTCTTTTTAGAGAATTTAAATTTGTTAGATTAGCACTAATTTGTATTAAAAGTTCTATTCTTTACCAAACAATGTTTGTTGAATTTAATTGATTAAATATATATGTTTCGTAATCATTAAATGATTTTAATCATGTAAATATTCATTTTTCAAGTATTTTTGAGGTTTTATTCATCTAATTTATTATATTTTATTCATAAAATATTTTTTTATGTATTTAAAAAATTAATATTTTAAAATTACTAATAGTAACAAAATTAAATATAATAAAACTATTTAATTTCAAATCATTAAAGTAATGTTTAATAATGAAAATATTTTTAATTTATTTTAATTTCATTTTTTTTTGTAATAACACTACATATAATATTGATCATTTTATTTCATTTTGAATGAGCAAAAATGAAATCCATATTTTGTATTTTAAATTTCCGTAAAAATAATACTTTGACAATCGTTTTAATAACAGTTTTATAATATAATAAAATTGAATATTTATAATATTCATTCAATCTAAATTATATATCATTTTATCGATAATGTAACAAATGAATATAGAAATATCTATTTACAGTTTATTAAATTAATCAAATGTTATTATCAAAAGAAAAATTATGAATATTATATCACAGGATAGAAAATTGTTAGAAAGATATTTTTTTTCTTTAATTTATTTAAAATTTTTATCAATATATTAGACATTTTATGAACTAATCTTATTACTTTTAATTATTTTTAATATATTATTTTTATCTTCTTTTTCGGCTACTTTATATACATGCATACATACATATATATATATATATATATATATATATATATATAGGGCGATGCGCGTGTGTGGATATACAGATATGAAGTAAATTTGATTTATTATAATATTAATTACTTTAAATATAATATCTTCTGTATTAGTATACAATATTAATTTTTCAATCTAAACATAATAATAATTGTTTACCAATTGTATATTCATAAAGTTGTGCTATAATTGAATTCTCTAAATAACAAATTGAAATATAAATGTAAAATATCAATTTTATCTTGTGCAGAGGATTCTTATATAATCAAACAATGTTAAGTATAAAAGGAATAAGACAATTGTCGAAGACAAACACTCTAATAAGTAAACAGTATTTTTATTAGATATAATAATTTAATAAATACTAAACCTTTAATGAACATAGAATAATTGAAATAAGAATTTTTAAGAATTTTTTCTTTTCTCAATTATATATAAGATGTAGAGTTAAGATTTATTTACAGTTTATTTCATTCAGCCTGCTTTAATTTTTTCACAACGAAATTCATAAAACTATAATTTTTTGTCTTTTAACATAAAAGAATATTACAATTATAATAAATTTCTCTTACATACCGATCTCTCTATATTTCACATTGAATTTGGTTATAAACTTTTAATAATAATAATAAATGGTAGTGAATACATTGAAAATGTATAAAATCAACTATACTTAAGAATTGTTTTTTATTAATAATTTTATAAGTATTTTAAATATATAATTTTTTTATATAAAAAATTTAAATACATTTGAGATAACTATGTAAGTTATTACATAATAAATAAATTGCATTAAATAGGAAAATTAAATCATTCACCAAACATTATTATAACTATTAATGAATATTTGGATTTTATCTAAATATATTATTCGAATTGTTTGAAAACTCACATACCTTAAAATAAAAATAATAGTTATAAAAAATTAGTTATACTTATTTCTTTATAATTCATATCCAAAATCTTAATTTGTATATAGTTTTAGTTTCTCTAAGATTGTCATTAAAAAGATAACAATTCGATATGTTTTTAATTATCAAGATTTATAATCTTTATCAAATATTTATTAAATTATGATAATATAATATATAAATATCAAAGAAAGTATTCGATACTGACCATATTTCTATCAATCTTTTATTGAACAGTGCATTGATGTCCAAAGTATATATAAATACGTAAAATTATCGTTTGTTATTACCATATGTATAATCTATTTGGCTGTATATGATTGTGGATGTTAAAAGCCTGATATTGTACATAAAGACATGTATGATAGGCAAGAATGATGAGGTAATTCAAAAGACCTTATCTTATTTTATTTGATATTGGACCATCGAGAATGTAAGGAGGGTGGGGATTGAGTTCCTAAGGGATTTAAGTTACTTGGTGGATTATGTAGTATGAAAAAGACGAAGGGCGAATGTCGAAAAATATGATTATCCTGCATGTGAACAATAATGCGCAGTGAATAAGAATGTAATGGATAAAAGCAGATTATAATTAAAATAAGTTGAGTAAAACTAGGACAATGTAAAAAAGCAGAATGAAGGATAATTTATTAATCAGAAAGAAAGAAAGCAGTTGATTTAACTATAATGATTAGGGAGTATCAGTGGCATTAAGTGCGTCTACTATAAGAACTACGAATATTGCGGGAAATCATTGCATATAAATAATTAAAAAAAAAATAAAAAAAAATACATTTAGTTCAAATAAGCAGAGTAAACTAAATAATGAGAGATAAATCAAATTTATCATTTGCTAAATTAATTTATAAAGTGAATTTATTGCTATTTTCAATACTTATCGAAAACGTATAGAGTAAGGATCACCTTCAAATAATAAACGATGATATCGTCATTATCATTAATTCAAATAATGCAAAATTACAAAGATGTAGTAAATAAATATTATTGATATCTTTACTTTTAGTTATTTTTGAGTAAAAATAAAGCTTATAAAAGTGCCATGTGCGTGAACAAAATAAAATACATCGGGTGGCAAGGAGTACAATAAATAGTGCAACATTGACCGAAAGCTGTCGAAAAATACATATAAATTGCTTCGACAAGGCTTTTTCTTTGTTTTTTTTTCCTTGGTGCGTCATTACTCTCTTGCGGTGCTTACACCTAAAACTACTTTACACGCTTACACGCGCTCCACCCACTATAATGGCTTGATTACCATTTCTATGCTTTCAGACGCTGTGGCTTTATTAATTTAGAACTGGACAACTGGATAATTGAATAAGGCGCATCGTTTACCGAAGTAAGCTAATATGCATAATGAACATTGAAATTGTTATTTACCGCGAGAATATTTTTCATCGATACGACTAAGTTTATGTCTGATAGCATTGCCATCTCTACTACTGAAAAAAGTCTTTTTAAGGATACAATAATTGAAATGGGCAATAATTTTCTTACTAATTATGTGAGAAACTGACTTTTACCAAACTTTGATGAAATAACTAGGATATATTTTAAAGTTCTATGATTATTAAAGCCACTATTGTAAGTTTTTTATTAAGTAGACTGGAATGTTAAGAAGCTAATTTTATGTTTTTCTTCAATGGCTGAAGAATATTTCTTTTAATTAGATTTAAAATCGAGCTATCAATTAATTTTATTTTTATAAAAATTAGTACGAAATTATACAAAACAATTACTTTTATGAAATTTTTTTTGCATATCTAGTTGCGACATATTACTTAAGGAAACATCGTCTTATAGTTAAATTATTAGCAAGTTATATTAGTATATATTTTAGTAATTTCATAATGCGATTTTGATATGTAAATAAAGAACGATATAAGGACCGATTATTTAATCGAAAAAGAATCCACGATGAAAATGGAAGGTCGAAGGTTTTCAACTTTAATTTCAAGGGCTTCTTATTTATAATTGATTTTAATTATATTCGATTTTAATTAAAATATTCGATAAAAATAAGCTAGTAAATTGAAATCAATTACATGCAAATGCAAATTCAGTAACTAATGGTATTTTATTTACCTGTGACCAGAGACTTTCTTATTGTGAGCGTAGTTAACTACGTTGATGTCATTTTGTGAGTTTTTCGTCAAATGTGCATTCACATCCTGATTTCTCAAAGCAGCAACACCTGTTAAATTAAAACTATAGCTGCATAAAGTCCTGCAATATAACAGCATCCGTTTTATTATTTAAATTTATATTTCTCTTGTCAGCTTTACTTGCCGCAGTTACATTAATGTACCCACGAGAAATAACTCATCTGTCTTTACATTGATTATTGAACTCAAATGCAAGAAAAACGAAATAATAAATAATGTTTCTCATTTTTTCATTTAATTCTATTGAAATTTTATTCGGAATATTAATAATACGTCTTTTAAAATTTTTAAATTTGACGAAAATCAGCGGATATAAATTATTATTGTTATGAAAGTGAATATTCTTTAACATTTACTATCCTCTCGTCTTGCTTTTAAAATAAATCAGACTAGTAATCCTGAAATAAAAAATTTTATTTCTAAAGCTGCAGAAATCATTGCAAGTACATATCATTTCAAGCTAATATCAATAATTAAATAAAAGATATGTCATATATAGTTGTAAGGATGAAATGTGTGTATATTTCAAAATTATCCTTAATAGATTAGATAAATGTAAATTGCTAATAAAAAATTAGTCGCTATAAGTAGAGGAATAGATTTTCAACAGTACAATCAGTTAGGCATCGCAAGAAAGTTATATTTTGAAAGGATCGAAGACTACTTTTCGATCGAAGGATCTCTTCTTGCTTAATAGACTTTTCTTTCAGTCGAGTTCATAGACCTCATCTTCGAATGGCTGCTACTGATTTGGTGAACCGCGAAGGACTTTACCGTCACCGATGAAATCTAGGCTTCACCTCTCTGGGTGAAGCCGCCCCTTATGTGATCGAGATTGGCATCTCGAGCGTCGATTCGGATAAAATCGTCTGTTGAAGGTGGAATCACACTGTGTTCGTGGCATCGTCTTTTAAGTTCTTCCTTTCTCACTTTCGATGTTCATTTATTTATATTGATGACATATAATAAATAAGACAGCGTTCTAACAAATTATGTGACAAAAATTGAATACTTCATGTAATCAACATTTATGGATTATTATATAATACAATAATCATGAAAAGAATAATTAAATACAAAATTATCTATTGCATTAATAAAGGTATTAGGCAAGGTACATAATATATAAAACTCTATATTATAATTGTAAAGTATTTCCAATGAGTTATATTAAAGGATATTGTATGTCTTAAAAACAATCGTCAATGTGACTACGTATCCTTGATATTACGTTTACAAAATTTATTATTTTTGGTTCAATGTCACATTAATCACACACGCACGCCCGCGCGTGTATAATTATACACAATATATACACATACATGCACGCCCACACGCAAGCAAAAATATGTGCGGGTGCTGTATGATCTGAAATGTATTTGCGTGTAATATATGTGCATGTGGTGTGTGTGTGTGTGTGTGTGTGTGTGTGTGTGTGTGTGTAAGTAGAATTGAATTAAAATTATAATAAATTACATTATGTTAAAAGAATTCACGTGAAAATTAGTTAATATATATATATAAGATAGTTAAATTTTATATGAAATTTTAATGCAATGTATTATAAGAAATTGTATGAGATTAAGGAATTATTTCATTATTTATGAAAAAATATTGTAATTTGTTTTTAATCTTTTCATATGTAACTTATTTATGAAAAATATATTATTATATTAGAATAACTAAAACGAATCAACATTCAATAGTTACACCCAAGTTTATCATAGTATTACACATCTCAGCTGCAGTTTTTTTTTAAATTTTCAGATATATTTATATATTATAATATTTAAGTAGTTATTATAACTTTATATAAATTGAATATGATATGAAAAATTTATCATTATAATATTAAAATATAATTAGTTGTAACATTTTAAGCATATTATCTAAATAAATGTCTATCGATCTTAGTAAAGTACTTTACGAGTCTTAAATACAATTCTGAACTTCTTTATTAGTTATCAAGTGGAAAGTGTTGTATAAAGTAAACAGTTTTTTGTATACTATGAATAATGATAGAGTTTTCATAAAATTAATGAAACTTTACTTAAAGTGCCAACGTACGTATAATGTATATAATATTCAGTTTTTTTTTATCGAAGCTTTTTATTATTTAATTTTGTAATTTATTATCTAATATATAAATAAAGCACTGTTTCTCTATGGATATTATAATGAAATCAGATATTTGAAAAACTACTAAAATTATTTTAAAAATAATTATTCATAGTAATTAATAAACAATGAAATATGAGGTTTTATGTCACTTTTAAGTAAAGTAATAAATTTGTAAACAATAATATTATTTTTAATTACTGCTGCTCAAAATTAAAATTCAATATGCTAAAATTTTAATCTATTATATCATTCATTATACATATTTTTCTATTATAATAAATATCTATTATCAAAGATTATTAAATGAACTGCGTAACAATCTTTATATTATTTATAAATTATTATTGTAATCAATGCAAGAAATGTCCTCAATCGTTTATACCTTTGAACGTTAGAAATTTATTTACACGAAAGAGAAAAATGTGCGTGCCTCAAAGACGCCATCGTATTATGTGAAAAAAAAAACAGAATATACGTTTGATAACAATACCTACTTACGGTAATTTTGAAAAACTTAAAACGAATACACTAAGTTGCATGAGAATACTTGTGTTATTTGCATATATTCACTCGTGATAAAAATACTATAATAAAAAAGAATTACGAATAAACTGATTTGTATTTCGGAAACTTTTAACAACAAAATATTAAATAAATTTGAACTATGATTATATTCTTCTTTTTAAATACACTGGGACAAAATACTTAAAATTTTTCGTTATAAAAATTATAATGAAAGTATTGAAATGTTTTAATAGAAAAAAATTTGATGTACTTGTGCAATATACAGCAATGACATTTGTATTTTAATATTGAATAATAATAAATAAACATAACTAACGAAATAAAAGCGCAATGTAAGCAAGTTATATAGAAAGGAAAAAAGTTATAATTAAGCAGTGGTTTCGTCTACAATATGATTATAAAAAATTTTGTAACCTTACCGTTAAAATATTTATTTTCTTCTTTTTATTTGTCAAGTAATGAATTATGATTGATAATAAACATTATTCGTAGTAATTAATTTCTTAATTTACTATTATAATACAAAGTGCGGAGATGAAAAAACGAACGAAAAGTAATATTAAAATTAAAATTTACAAATAAAAAATTTTTCCCATAACTTATGTTTACGAATTTTATAGAAAACTGTTTATGCAAATGTAAATTATAAAGAAATATTGCAATTGTATTGCAAAAATGTAAAATGATTGTTTTCAAACATTAAAAATATATCTATGCGTGTAAAAATTATATTACAATGGCAAGTATTTTATATTTTTATGAATTAAAAGAAAGGTAATAAATTTTATAATTATACATCTGTAATGTATTTAGATGTATAAATGCAAACAATTCTATATGTAATAATATATAATAGGCGAAAGTGCATAATTTTCACAAATATAACATATATTATTCAGAGAAGTACAGAGTTAGTCAACATGTCAATGGGCTTGATTAATGTTTCTAATTCAGTTTTAAATCTATAATTAAAATATCTTATGTGTATATAGATCTTAAATTATAATTATCTTATATCTATTTAAATAAATATCTTGTATTTAATAATTTATGTAGAAAATGATTCAAGGTTAACATTCTGGCAATTATTGAAAATTAATTAATTTTTTTTATAATTTTTTAATAGATATATCTATTTTCAATTAATGAAGATTATCCGTCAATTTCGTTTTATTGTATTAGCATTATTAATAAGAAATTAAATTAAATAATTTAAAACTCTAGTTAATGTTTTAAAAATAATAATATTAAACGTTACATAATATAAAACGAATGCCTATATCAATAATGATATTTGTCGTATAATATATTCTTTGAATGTTATATATTTTTGTTCATTTGTTTTTAAAATTATTTTCTCATAATTTTGAAGAATTTTATTTTGACGATTTTTACGATTATATAAGCAAAGAATAATTTTTTTCTCACAGAAGTTTTCTATTTTCATTAAAAATATCCAATATTTATATAATGATTTTATTACTTTATCAATTAATATAATACTTTATGAGACATATTATATTGATGTCAATGATAAATAATAATATGAATGCCAATAAAATTATTTATTTAGTAAAGAATTTTAATATTGCAATGTTAGTTTGACAAAACTAGCAAATACAACGAACCACAAAGCCTTCCCGGGTTTCGTCATGTGATTTTTGTTGTTAGCTATGTTTATCTTACAAGTACAGTGCCGTAATATTATAATGCTATTAAGTTCGAGAGCACTACCAGATATCTCGAGCTTGAACTGATTAAGAATAATTTAATGATTGTTTTAAAAAGCAAAGGCTACCTGCCTGTTTTTGTCGCATACTTTGTGAAAAGAGGCTTTTAAAAAACTCGATTTTAACAATATTCATTACAGAGGATTTGACAAAGGTTTCAAAACAAGAGAAAATCTGATTTTCTTTCATTTTATTGATCTATGAACAAATTTTCCTCTTACCTTTTATCTACAAAGGCGTCAGCGCACCATTTTAACGAAACTAATATCATTATGATAAATTTGGTTTTCGAATGTCAATACAATTTGTAAAGATTACAACAGTTGTTTACACTTGAAATGGAAAAGTCCAATCCTAATATATTGAACATTTAGCAAGTAATAATAATATAAAATCATAATTTTTTTTTGTTCATTTTCTTGCATCTGAACATTTATGCTCAAACTAATATTTGCGAAAAATCTTTCAACCCAGTATTTCTCGTTATTTTAGCAGTTGTAATTTTAAACTTGTTGCTACGTATTAATAATGTATTTGCTTAGTATTAGTTGTGAATTATTGCACTTATCTCTTAATTTAAATTACATATCAAATTTCAATGAAAACGTGCATATAGATGTATTGGCGAGATCGAACGAATTTCACAAATGAACTGTAAAATACAAAGTATTCAATTCCAAGTGCTTTCAAATATACTTTCATTAGCCTTTGCAAAATAAAGGATTCAATTCTAGATAAACACCTTATTTACGGCCTACGTTCTTTGTATTTCTTGTCATGCGTTAGAGTAAGCTTCTTACTTATATATAATCCAATGAAATATGCAGAATCTATCAATTTCAAAAATCGATTATCACAGTTATCTGTAAAGTAGTATTATAAAAAAAATTTATGGGATTAATATTAGTTAATATTTGTTGGCAAAAAATTTCATTTAACCAAAAAGAATTTTTTCATGAGTCATATATATGTTCAATTTGATATAAAAAATGAATAAAATATTTCTATTTCAAATAGTAATTTGAATTTTGGAGAAATTTAAGTAAATTTAAAATTATAAATCGAGTGTGTAAAAATTTATTATTATTATTATTATTATTATCATCATCATCATCATCATCATCATCATCATCATCATCATCATCATCATCATCATTATTATTATTATTATTATTATCATTATTATTATTATCATCATCATCATTATTATTATATATATTAATGTTGCAGAATGCAAATATTTAATATAACAAACATATATAATTATAATTAAACTATTAATTTTATAATCAATTTTTCATTAATATATTGAATTTTTCACATTTTCTTTTGTTTTAAAGATATATGACCTCTACATTTTCATTAAGAAATATATATTTTTTTGTAATGGGTGTGGTAAGTGAGATTACGATTTACGATGTCGCGAATAACTTCAAATAAAATAATACTTTCTTGGTTGTTCAAATTTTAAAATGTTACTGTCATGTAAAAGTTATTTAAAACAAAACTATTCTTTATTAACTAATATTCACTTACATATCACAACACATTTCATATGTTAATATATTATTTCAATATTTAGTCTGCGAAACAATTTTTAATTTCACAAACGTATTTTTTATTGAACATCAATTTAAAATTATAGCCAATCAAAATTCTTATAAATAATTGTGTAGTTTTGTTAGTGTGTAGGGCTATGTATTTTCTGCGCTGAACATATATAAAGTTTATAAATAGCTTTAACATAATTTTAACTATCAATATTGAATTTGTTTATGACACGATAAAATTTTATTCAATTCTTACTGTTATAATATTTTATATGTAATACTTGATATAAGTTCCTAAAAATTTTTTTTAATGGAAACATCTCGTTGTTTGTTAGTTATTGACCAATTGAATTTATAACAAATTAATAAAATTAATTTAAATTAATTTTAATTATATATTAAAACATACGATTACACAATTTAATTTGTGGGATAAAGAACTGATTAAATTTTTAATTTTAGTTTTGAATAAAAAACCGTTTTTCAATCTATTAATTTCTTATATCAAGTAAAAATTAAATCAAATATTATTAACACGCGAGTAGCGAATTTTTCCGTTTAAGTGTTTCGTTTGTTGTCCGAAGAAAGTAATAATGTTGCTTTCGATTGGACGAATAATATCAACTGCTCCATTGCTTCATGATTACTTGTATTCTCATACTTTTCTATATTTTATCCATCCATTTGTACTTTTTCAATCTCACTTTATCGTTACGCTATCTTAAGGCATTTATCATTCGCACAATCATAAAATGAATTTCACATTAAACGGACTTTACCATAATACTTTATCATATTCATATCTATCCTCGTCCGACGCGCTCGATCATTAAGAATAATCTTAATAGTTTCGATGGTTTTATCCTTGTTATTAATATTATCTTAAACTATATTATTCACACGGCTTTAATGCGAATATTTACTGAATGATATAAACTAAAATATAATAATATGATCGTTATTAAATTTACTTACAATTCTGAAGTCTAAAAAGTACTGCATTTCATAAATATTACTATTTAAATTCATGAATATACTATCGATGAAGGTGGCATTATTATGAATTATTACTACAGTTTAAGACTCCTAAAAGTGTTAATGAAGGAATGACCCCAAATGAAAATTTGTAAAAATAAAATTTTTATATGTAATATCACTTGTAATTATTGTTGACAAATATAGGAATAAAAGAATATAGAAATAAGGAGAAATTAAGAAATAGAGAAAAATATTTTTAAAGCGTATAATATTATTAAAGCTATTAAAATTAATGAATATAATTAATTAAATAATTTATCTATAAATTATTCTTCAATATTCATAAAGTTTAAAAAATATTTTTAAAAATTTAAAGTACGAATTTTAATATAGTAAATTAAAAAAAAAAATTTAAGGTTTCTATTATTTTTTTAACATGCATACAAATATTTCGTAAAAATTATATTATTATTGGCAATAAAAATATTCTATTGAAAAAAATGTTGCACGTATAAAGAGTAGAATCGTAAAAATATTATGGATATTAATATTGAAAAATGTTTCATCACTGGTTAAAAAAAGCATTCTATTAAATATTTACTATTGTTATTAGTTTCATATTAAAAACGTAAAATAATAACTTTAATTTTTTAAACAATTATTATCGTCATATTATCGTGAGAAACTTACATTAGATTATACCAAAGTTTTATTCTTAATTGTTATACCTTTACATAAGACATATTTCTAATCATATAAAATTTTGTAATTAAAAATAGTATTTTGTATTTAAAAAAAAAAATTAATATTTTTATTAATCAATTCTTTCTAAGATTTACCCAATGACATATGGTTTTAATAATGAAATATCTATAAACATTGAGAAACGCAACATCGATATATATATATATATATATATATAGACAGAACACGTAGATATTATTTTGTCCATACCCACTTACATATGCGAACATAACAATTAATCTAAATTAATATTATTAATAATTTATGTTTACATTACTTACCCTCTTTTTCGAATTCTTTAGCTAAAGCTTCCATATATTCTGGCTGCGTGAAAACTTCTGAATTTAAGGGAATGTTTTCTCTATGCAACTGAAAAGAAATCTTTGTTAACAATTTAATTCTTTCACAATTTACTAAAATATTGAAGTAAAGCCTATTCACTAAGTGTAATTCTTTTCCATTAACTTTTATTGGTATTCGAATAAAATTAATGTAACAATTTGTACAAAAATGAAATTTAAGCTGTAAGAGTTAACAGCTATTATTTGAGAAGCAAATATTTAATTAGGGTCTAAGTAATTAATTAAAATTTTACTTCACTTTTTCATATCCGAAGAGATGATGTTAATTTAATATTCATAGAAAAAGTAAGATAAAATATTAACGATGTATGTTACGCATTATGCGTGTTGTCGAGTTGTAAAATTAAGTGAAATAAGATTTGTCGTGGTTCCAGAATACTATAAAACTATAAGAAATAATGATTTAAGTAAATTTGACATGAATACTTATGTTTAATGGTATATTATAATTTCTCAATATGTTAAGGATTATTATGCAAGAAATAATGATTAAACGTAACGGCAATCAATTTTCCACGTCGCGAAGAGGAGGCGGTGAAAGCTTTGATTTTCTGATCAGAATATTGACGAAAGTAGAAAGAAGCTTTGCTTGCAATAATGAAAAACTCGCTGCCATGGAACCGAATAACATTAAAATATTGCACATGTGGGTAGCGGATAAGTAAAACGACCTCGCCTAACAAAATCTCCACTGTCGACTATTTATTATGCGCTACCCTTCCACCTGCGCCACGTAATTACACACTTATAAAGCACACCACGCACACGCATATGCATTGGAGCTTCGTGATCTACACATCGACCTTCTCTCACCCTCGTCCTCGACCTTACATGCTCTACTGGTCAGTCTTGCTCTTTTCCCTTACAGAGCCTTTCTCGATATTTCCTTCTCAGGCATTATCACGATTTACCACCTTCACATTATTTTGTATCATCTCCACTGTAATTGAACATATTTTTACTACTTATTGATTATTCTGATTTTTAGTCGTGACTTGCTTTATTTGTAATATATATTACATTGCTTTGGAGATTGTGAAGTACAGTTTGTAATTATATTGATTTTTATTTCTCAATAACTGCCAATACATTCAGTCATATGTTACTTACAATTCCAGTCGTACATGTGTAAAATTTACAATTTAACAATAACGAATGCCAATACATTCAGTCATATGTTACTTACAATTCCAGTCGTACATGTGTAAAATTTACAATTTAACAATAACGAAAAAGAATTTTTTTTTTTTTTTTTTTTTTTTTTTTTGTAAACCAGAAATATGTATATATTGTAAATTTATTACTTCAACTTAATAAACGAAATAATTATTATTCATTCATTCATCATAAATAATGAAAATTTCTGATAAAAGTTATAAAGCTATATAATCAATAATAAAATATCTGCTTTTATATTGTATGATCGATTCTTAAATATGTATTATAAAAAATTATTATATCTCAATCATTGGATTATATTTTTATAGTATTTTTTGTATGTATATTAAGTAAGTAATTTATTTTATTAAATGTATTTAAGATATATATTATCATAATGCCTTATAGAGGATTCATTTATTTATAATGAACTTATATAATTAAGTATTTTAAATTTTTTAATAATAAATATTGATATCTAGTTTCATATTTGATATTTATTATGATAAATTATCCTTAATTTTTTAGGAATATATTAAAGAGGTACAATGAAAAAGTAAACGTATTAGAAACTAGTAGAAATTAATTTATCAATATTATAAACATTACAACATTTATTCTAGACTTGTGCACGAAAAATATTAAAAATATGAAGAAATAAATTAATAGATTAAGAAACAAAAAATAAATACGGTTACTATATTATATATTATTCTAATATATTTAATGATTTTTCTTATTAATACTTTTTTAACTTTAACTATGTCTTCAAAGTATGGAGGAATTTATTATTTTATTTAGAATTTATTTTCTAATTGTAATTAATCTTAATTTTACTATTAATAAAATTATAAACATTATACGGAATAAAATTATTTTAATCAATTTGCATTCTTTTAGTTTACTTTTCTCCTTACTCGTCTTTTGAATTCCATACAGATAATCTTAATTTTATTTATGATTTGCTTAAACACATTACGATTAGAAAAATAAGGAGTAAAGAAATATTAAAAATACTTAAGGAATAGGAATTAGATTTTACTGGTTACTGAAAATGTCAATAAATATTATATTAGAAATATATGGATAGTAAATTTTTAAAAGGTTATGGAAATTTCGAATGTTGCATTGAAAAAATTTGCTCGCATGACCTGTGATTCTATTGAAATTGACTCCAAGAACATTTTATATTAGTATGCATGAGAAAAGTTTGTTGAAACATTGCTGATTTTTATTAAGCTCGGGGTAAAATTAATGCGAAAAAAAAAATTATTATGCGTACGCATGACATGTCAATTGAAAAACAAATGTATGAAGTTAAAACGAAAAATGAGATGAATCTGAAATATGTTTTTAGAAATAATACGAGTGCGAAATACTCGATAGCTATTAAATTAATTTTTGTAATTTATTATCAACTTATATTCCATTTATATTATAATTTTCTTAAATATCGAGATACTGCATGAATGTTCTATTAAATAAGTCTCAATTCTATTAAATAAGTTTTAAATAAATTAAATAATTCTATTGACAAAAATTTCAATTTTATCATCGAAACTTGTTCGTATAGGAATGTAGTGTATGTATTTTCCAACATTCTGATCAATAATTTAAGAATTGAATAAAATTCTGTACGTATATTCTTTATATTTAGAAAACTTTGTGACGTGGCTCTTATCGTTTTTTTTTATTTATGAAATTCCCATGCGATTTTCAAGATTCAAGAAAAACTCATAAAATAGTCCTTTTTCATATTATTATTCTGTTTAGGAGGAATATGTTTCAGTGGTTGAATGAGCTAACAAACATAAAACTTGCCATATAACTCTTCAACTTAAATCTTGATTGGATGTACATTTTATCGATAGACATATTATCAAGGAATAAACGTTCAAAGTTTCGAAAAAAAATGGTATGTACAGGACTGTATTTTTAATAGTCTCCACTTTCTATTAGATTTTCGTTCAAACATAATATATTATAATTTATTATATGAATAATGATTATTACTTAAACTAAAATAAAATTCATAATTAAAAAATATAAGCAATTATAAATTTATAAAATTTTTTTCCTTTTTCATTAAAAAAAAATTTCGAATTAGAGTACAATAAATTACAAGTAATTTTTTTTCTTTTATTGATTTATAAAAAATAATAACTATTCAAATTTAAATATGCGGGTTTTACATAAAAATTAAAGTTAATATTTAAGGAGTTAGTGATCTGTAATTTTTTAATTCGCGATTCATTTAGAAATTGCTAATTTCATATATCAATAAATGATATATAACCTTTTACTCTAAAAACAATAGTTTTGATCCGAACATTGAAAAATAATTAAAAATGAAAATATTTTAACTATCTATATACGCACATGTGTGAGTACAACATTATTTGTAAAATATTGTATCTTCTAATTTACTCCAATCAATTACATAATTTTTATTTGTTAACATTAGAATTCTTCTGAAATAGGTTTTGAATTATTATTTATATACGATTTTAACTATTGAAATGTATAAAGAAATGATTATTTTAATGCAATCATAAGAAATTTTTAGATGAAAATTTAAATTAAAACTACATTAGAGTTACTATATAACTTTTTGCATATTATAAAATATTTTTTTAAAGAAAGTATTCGATATAAATATATTACGTAAATATTTTATTAATACGAGAAGTTAATTGAAAAGATTTATTTTTAGTAAATATTAAAAAAACTTCTTACACGCATTGGTTTTCCGTATTATACTTTATAGTGAAATATACACGAAAATTGAAAGTGATATAGATTTTGTATTTAAAAAGAAAAAAATTACATATTGCAACCTAAGGCTTTTTAAATTTTCAAACAATGTTCATAAATATAGTTTATTAATATATAAAATTCTATTTGATTAGCGTAATTACCCATAATATTTAGCTTAGGTATTGTAAAATCTTGTTCATTCAATGATTGAAGCTTTATTAAAAAAAAAAAAAAAAACAATAAAATTTTTGTTTAACAAAGATTAATTAATAACGAATTTATTAATAACAAAGGTTATGAGTTTTGTAATTGCGGATTTATTCCACGAAAAAGTTTTAACTTTGAAATCCGATTCAAAATACATAAATAACGCGTGTCATAAGTAACGAACGAAGGTATTTAAAAATATTCAAGGAAATATTTGTAATTACTATTAGTGAATTTTTCTTTTTCATTGTGTTTCGCGAATTCTCAACCATTTGAAATAATATGAATCGGTTAATTCTACATAAAGCGTACAGAAAGGTCGATAATAAACGTTGAATTCTACATGTGAAAATGACGGAACTTGAAAATGCTTAAGATAAGAGTGCTGGTTCACCATGAGTAAAAAATCATCTGATCAATCGCATTATTGTAATTACTTAATGAGCATATGTAAAACGAGAGATATATATATATATATAGTGGTGAGAGGTGTGGTTACTTTATTTATTACTTTTTTTATTTGCCACGAGTGAAAGAATCATCGGTTCGCCCACAAGCAATGGAATTTATGCAAATAATCGACGGACTGGCAAAGAAAGATTACGTACCGGCGAGGCTATGACGGTGGCGGCGGCGGCGGCCGCGGCCCTTGCATCCTTAAGGACTGCCGCGAAAAGGAGATTGGACAGCAAGAGGGTGAGGGCAAGTCGAGCCATGTTCTTATCTAAACGGTGACCGAGGAACGGAAAGTGAAAGCGGCGGACTTGTTGCTCCTGTTGCTGCTGCTGCTGTTGCTGCTGTTGCTCTTCCTCGACTCGCTCGACGGCAGGAAGTGCGAGTGTCGCGTGCCCCCTTGGAA